CTGCGGTTCTGCCTCGGCGCCGCGGGGTGCCGCGCGGTCGTCGCGGCCGCGGCCGCGCGCGACGCGGTCGCCGGCGCCGGCGCGGCGCTCGCGGCGCTGCTCTGGGCCGGCGGCGACGACGGCGCACCGTCGGGACTCGCGCCGGCGGAGGCGTCCTACGAGGCCGTCGCGCGCGGCGGCGCCGCGCCGGAGCGCGCCGGATTCCGCGGCGACGGCGACGCCGGCTGCGAGATGTACTACACGTCGGGCACGTCCGGCCGCCCCAAGGGCGTCGTGCTCGCGCGGCGCGTCGTCCTGCTCCACGCCGCGGGCTGCCTCAGGGAGCACCGCATCCACGGCGGCGATTGCTGGCTCCACGCAGGGCGGCAAAAGAGAGCGAAATTCCAAACTTCAAAGCCTCATATCTCGGCCGTTTTCCACTCGTTTCGGCTGATTTCTGGACGAGCGATCATCTCTCGGAGCGGTCTCGAAGCATGGGTGCTTTTTTTGGAACGCGCGCGCGCGAAACACTCACGTTGAAGCGACGTTGAATCTCTCTTGTGCTGCCCAGGCTCCACGTCGCGCCGCTCTTCCATTTGGTGGACGCGTACGCGGTCTTCGCGATCACCTGGGTCGGCGGCCGCCACGTCATCCTGCCGGCCTTCGACGGCCGGGGCGTCGCGGCGGCCGTGGGCGAGCGGCGCGTGACCGTGTCCAACGTCGCGTCGACGATGGTCACGCTGCTCCTCGCGGACGCCGCGGTCCGGCGCGCGGACTTTTCGTCCCTCGAGCTCCTGTCCTGCGGCGGCGCGCCCCTGGCGCCGGCGACGGTGCGGGCGGCCGTGGCGACCTTCGGGTGCGAGTTTTTCCTGTCCTACGGCATGACGGAGTGCTGCGGGAAGATCGCCATGTCTCTGGTCGACGCCGCGGTCCGCGCGGAGCTCGGCCCCGCGGGGACGCTGGACCTCGTCTGCTCGAGCGGGCGGCCCTTCGTCCTGCTGGACGTGCGCGTCGTCGCCGGGTCGACGAGCGCGGCGCCGGCGGACGAGGACGACGCCGCGGACGTCGCGCGCGGCGCCGGCGCCGTCGGCGAGGTCTGGATCCGGGGCCCCACGGTCTTCTCCGGCTACGTCGGCGGCGCCGCGCCCGACGCCTTCGCGGGACCCTGGTTCCGCACGGGCGACCTCGCGACGGTCGACGGCCGGGGCTACCTGACGATCACGGACCGCGCCAAGGACATGATCCTCGTCGGCTCGGAGAACGTCTACTGCGTCGAGGTCGAGCGCGCGCTCCACGACCACCCGAGCGTGACCCACGCGGCGGTCTACGGCCTCCCCGACGGCGCCCTGGGCGAGCGCGTCAAGGCCGTCGTCGTCGCCGACGGCGCGGTCGCGGCCGACGACCTCCGGCGGCACTGCGCGAATCTCCTCGCGGACTTCAAGGTGCCGTCGCGGGTCGAGTTCCTCGACGCGCTGCCGCTCACGGGCTCGGGCAAGGTCGCCAAGGCCGCGCTCAAGGCCGGCGACGGCGCCCGCGCGCGCGCGGCCGCCGCCGCGAGGGACGCCGCGGACCTCGGGGCAGGACAAGAGAGCGAAATTCCCAACTTCAAAGGCTCCTATCTCGGCCGCTTTCCACTCGTTTCGGCTGATTTTTGGACGAGCGATCATCTCGTGCAACGGCCTCGAAGCGTGGATGCTTTTCCGGAACGCGCGCGCGCGGAACACTCACGTTGAAGCGACGTTGAATCTCTCTTTTCCTGCCCAGGCGGACCTCGCGGCGGACCACGCGTACGCCGTCGAGCTCGCGCCGCGGCCGGCGGCGGCGGTTTCGCGGCCGGCCGGGTCCTGGGTCGTCGTCGGCGGCGGCGCCGTCGGCGCCGCGCTCGCCGAGGCCCTCGGCGGCGTGTTGGTCGCCGTCGGCGGCCGCGGCGACCCGGAGGCGACCCTGGCGGCCGTCGAGGCCGCGACGCGCGCGGCGATGGCGCCGGACTGCGCGGGCGTCGCCTGCCTCGCGGCCCTCGACGGCGGCCTCGACCACCCGGGCGGCGCCGTCGAAACGAACGAGCGAACCGTCCTGGCGGCCTGCGCGGCGGCGCTCGGCGTCGCCAGGGCCGCGGCGGCGTTCTCGGGAGCGGTCGTCGTCGCGACGCGCGGCGCGCTGCCCGGCGACCTCTACCACGCCGCGGCGGCGCCGGGCGCCGCCGTCTGGGGCCTCGCGCGGACCTTCGCCTGCGAGTTCGCCGGCGCGGTCCGCTGCGTCGACCTCTGCCCGGACGAGACCAGCGCGGCCGACGACGCGGCCGCGGTCGCGCTCGAGGCCGCCGCGGGGCCCGGCGAGTCGGCCTGGCGCCG